AATGCAGCTATCAGGTTCCTATCCTTTAGTCTTCCAGGAATGTTATTTCACTGCCATACAAGAGTAAGATATAACCTTGGGGGTTCATTGCCTAAAGGGGTAGGATCTATGTAATAAATAGGAAATTATTTTATTACATCAGTTTCAATGATTGTTTTTGTTAAATGCAACCATTTTTTAATATTTGATTTTTTTAATTGATCCTTTTTAAACATACAAAAAAAAGATGAGTACCTTCTCTACTTCCCAGCCCTTTTTTTTTGTTTGTCACTGTCCCATTGCTCCATTTATTCCCATTAAAAGGGATCTCCTTTATTTTGTACCCAGTTTTACACATTTGTATTTTTCTACTGAGAAGTAACATAAAGACATATATATTTTTATTTATATGTGTGAGATGCATGTTTTATTATATTACATTAATATATTTCCATCTCTTGATATATTTATGTATTAAATGTGTTACCTATTAGATTGTTATTAAACTTATACATTATTACATGAATAAAAAGTTTGTAAACAAAAAAAGTGATCTCCCCCTCACCTGACCCTCTACCCGATCCCCTTTCAAATCCTATTAGCACCCCCATCCCACCCCTGTACGGACACTCCCCACTGTTTTTATAATGAAAACTTAGGGAAAGTTCCCACAACATTTACTGTTGAACAGTCTGTTATCTAAAGGAGATTGTTATAGTGTTAAATGCCATAAAATAAATGTTGTGACAACTATGTATACAGTGGTATGTTGTCTTAGCACAAATTTATTGATACTGAACTCTTTACCCCCCTTCCACTGTAACTATTGTACACTTTATGCTTTTTGTTCATTGTGGTGAACTTCTCCTTGAATTAATAAAACAGATATTATTCCCCCAGGCTTCTTTATAGAGGGATAACAGCCCCAAAATACTAACATAATAGTGCACACAGACCATAAGAATACATCTAAATCAAGAGTCACATTGGCAGCTCAGATGCATACAGTTATAACAGAAGTGAATACATGTGCAGGTATCTTGTACTGTATACTTGTAACTGGCCTTGGATCAGTAAAAGCCTATGATTATGTAATTCTAAAATTCTAAAACGCATCGATGTTTTTACTCCACTCTTACATCAGTAAGTTATAATCCCCTTTGAAAATACACATACATGTTATTAGGTCAAAGTGAAATTCAAAGTAAAAACAAAATATGTGTCCTTGCAAAACTGGTAAGATTTTCATTTTTTTTTAAGCTAACATTTTTTTTTTTGTTAACAATAAAAGTTTTTTTTTTTTTTTGTTTTGTTTCATCTTGTACAGAATATTGAAGATCAAGAATTCCATATATTTCAGTATATCAATACAAAATTTACAGTGGATAGCAATAGTCATGTACAAATGTCTCCAACAAGGGTACACCAAAATACATGAATACACAAAACAACAAGAAGCATAAGAGAGAGGAAAAATAAATGAAAAAACAAGGAAAACAAAAACCCACTGAAGCGTATATAGCCATGTTAATGAGCTTACAGTGTAACATTTATCGTGAGCAAATCTTTTCAATATTCAAAAAGTAGTAAAATAAAATGTTCAATTACTAGACTGTAAGAAACAAAGTCTTAGTGAATTGGTCATTCTTGACATTATGAGCATTTATAAACCATTGTGTAAATTTGTGTATAGTTTTGTACAATTATGAACAATTACAGTATATATTTATACATTCATTTGTAAACCCAAGATAGTCTTGTAAGAGTCAGAAAAGGTAAAGGTATACTATGCATTCCAAGTTTTATGATAGATAGGTAAGCGTTCCTGAGTCATAGCTATGGTTTCCTCCATATGGTGGATATTTTCCAATTCTTGTAACCAATTCCAAACTTCTGGAGTTCTAGTTGACTTCCAAAACCTGGGAACCAAGGTTTTAGCAGCGCTAATTAGGTGTTTCATTAAGGAGCTCTTATATCTGTTGAGCGAGAGAACCGAGATATGTAGTAGGCAGGATGCAGCGTCTAAGGTTATTGTGGTGTCTGTTATGAGTACTATAAGCCTATAAACCTGTGTCCAATAGGTTTGAAGAAGTGGGCACAGCCACCAGATGTGTAATAGAGTGCCTTTACCAATTTGGTATCTCCAGCATAGGTCAGATCTTGTGGTGAACCATTTGTGTAATTTGACTGGGGTCGCGTACCAGTGTGTGAGAATCTTATAGGATGTTTATTGTTGTCTTGTGCTGATGTGCAAGTATGCAAACATTTTCCCATTGTTGGTGTGAAAAACTGGTTTCAAGTGCATTTTCCTATAGGGACCTAAAATTATCTTTGCGCTCATTAGCTTTATTTTGTAGCCAAGAGTACATCAAGGAAGTGGTCTTATTGACCCTGTCTCCCTTAAGGCAGATGGATTCAAGCTGCGTCGTAGGTTTTAGAAAAGAGAGTTTTTGTTTGTTATTAAGTAGAAAGTCTCGTAGTTGGAAATATGACCATTGTGGGAGACAAATGCCACCACATATCTCTTTTAGGTGTTCCTTGGAGACCATTCCGGCTTTTGACCGACAGTGAGGTATACCTTTGCCCATTATCAGTGGCACTGGAAAATGTTGACCTGGAGGGAATTCCGGGTTATCAGTTATGGGAGTTAGTGGTCCTGGAATGTTGGCCAGGTCTTTGGAAGAATGTAAGTTTTGTAAATTCTCCAAAGTGGGACCGATAGTGGGGTGCTGTTTGATTTTTTTGCAATACAAAGTCTTATTTATCCACAGTAAGAACCTCACAGGGAGAGGAATAACTGAATTTTCAAGCTCAACCCAGTCCTTGTCTGCGCTGTGGCAGTGCCAGTAAATTATTCTTGCTAAATGCGTGGCAAAATAGTATGATTTAAAATCCGGTAAAGGCCATGCCTCCCGCCTTTTTAGATCTGGTCATCAGGAAGAACTGGATACGAGGTTTGTTTTTAGCCCAAATAAACTTCTGCTGCGCCTGTTGTAATCAATTGAAAAAAGTTCCTGAAATTTTGATTGGCAGTGCATGCATGCAATAGTGAAGTCTAGGGAAGATAGTCATTTTAACAATTGCCGCTCTGCCAAACCAGGAAAAATTTCTTGAATTCCATTTGTCTATATCCCTTTCAATATTTTTGAGATGAGGTTTAAAGTTTTGGTCATATAAATTGTCTAAAGATGGTGTTAACCAAACCCCCAGATATTTTAATGCATTTTTTTTCCCATTTGAAGAGCCAATTATGTTGTACCTTATTCAGTGCATCTTTAGACAAAGTCAGGTTAAGTGCTTCTAATTTATTGTCATTTATTTTAAAGTTAGAGATATATCCAAATGTCTGAAAAGTGTGCAAGAGGTTCGGAATAGTTACATAGTTAGTCTGGCTGAAAAAGGACAAAAGTCCATCCAGTTCAACCATAGAAAATAAATAAATAAATAAAATATAAAATCCTATAGCCACAGTTGATCCAGAGGAAGGCAAAAAAAAACCCAGCAAAGCATGATCCAATTTGCTCCTGCTGGGAAAAAAATTCCTTCCTGATCCCCCGAGAGGCAATTGGATATTATTATTATTATACAGGATTTATATAGCGCCAACAGTTTGCTCAGCGCTGTACATTATAATGGGAGACAGTACACGAGACAGTACAGTAACAATACGATTCGATACACGAGGGGTTCGAGGGCCCTGCTCCTTGGAGCTTACAATCTAGGAGGGAGGGGATTGTGGTACAGGAGGAAATAGCTGTGGGGGGTGGAGTGGTAGGAAGAGTGGAGGAGTTCAGTAATTAGCTGAGGGCGGGGTAGGCTTCCCTGAAGAGGTGGGTTTTCAGAGTGCGCCTAAAGGTGAGGAGAGTAGGTGTTGTCTGATGGATTGAGGTAGGGTGTCAGGAATGGATTCAGCACTGGTGGTGGGACTCTCCTGCCGTGTGGGCTGCAGTACCAGAGCTGACCAGCGGGTGCTCTCAGCACTGGTGGTGGGACTCTCCTGCCGTGTGGGCTGCAGTACCAGAGCTGACCAGCGGGTGCTCTTAGCAGCCAGAAGCTCACAATCAGCCAAACCTGGGGCTGATTACAGAAAGGTGTATCTAAGGCATGACCAGGCCTGTGCTCTGGGCCTTGGTGTATGTTTTCCCATGAGCCCCTGTATCCTGTTCCTAGTTCCTGTGAGAAGATACCTTGTTGCCGACCCTGCCTGATCCTGATTCCTGTTGACCGTCTCCTGTTCTGACTACTGGCTCATCCCTGACCATCCTTCTGCCTGATCCTCTGTACTGCGCTGTCCGTGAGTTACTGAACCCGGCTTGTGACCTTGACCATTCTCTGCCTGCTCCTTTGATACCTTGCTGCCCGCACGTTGCTGACTTGGCCCATCTGACCACGCTCACTACTCTGCCATCCTCTCCATCCTGCACGGATCCTCCAGCATCAGGTCATTTGGCTCGACAGCGGAACCCTACGGCCGGCCGCGTCATCTGGCAAGGCAGTGGGCACCGAGTCACCAGGCACGACAGTGGACTCTGAGTCAATTGGCCCGACAGCGGGCACCAGGTCATCAGGTACCGGATCGTCTGGCTCGCCCCAGCAGGCACGGATACAGAAGTGGTTAGTAAGGTGGATGAGTCTGACCGCAGCATTCAAGATAGACTGAAGCAGGGATACCCTGAGGTGAGGGTCATCTGGCGCTGGATCGTCTGGCTCGACAGCGGGCATCGGGTCACCAGGCATGACCGCGGCGGGGCGACTGGGTCATCAGGCATTGGATCGTCTGGCTCGACAGCGGGCATCGGGTCACCAGGCATGACAGCGGGCACTGGGTCATCAGGCATTGGATTGTCTGGCTCGACAGCGGGCATCAGGTCACCAGGTATGACAGTGGGCTCCGAGTCACCAGGCATGACCGCAGGGGCACTGGGTCAGACATTGGATCGTCTGGCTCGACAGCGGGCATCGGGTCACCAGGCATCAGGTCATTTGGCTCGACAGCGGGCACCGCATCATCTGGCAAGGCAGTGGGCACCGAGTCACCAGGCACAACAGTGGACTCTGAGTCAATTGGCACGACAGCGGGCACCGGGGTCATCTGGCGCTGGATCGTCTGGCTCGACAGCGGGCATCGGGTCACCAGGCATGACAGCAGGCACTGGGTCATCAGGTACCGGATCGTCTGGATCGACAGCGGGCACCGGGTCATCTGGCGCTGGATCGTCTGGCTCGACAGCGGGCATCGGGTCACCAGGCATGACAGCGGGCACTGGGTCATCAGGCATTGGATCATCTGGCTCGACAGCGGGCATCGGGTCACCAGGTATGACCGCGGGCACTGGGTCATCAGGCATTGGATCGTCTGGCTCGACAGCGGGCATCGGGTCACCAGGCATGACAGTGGGCACCGGGTCATCAGGTACCGGATCGTCTGGCTCGACAGCGGGCACTGGGTCATCAGGCGTGATAGGATCATCAGGCTGGATCAGTTCATCAGGCTGGGTACAGACATCAGGCTGGGTACAGACATCAGGCTGAAGTGCGGGTGCCGAGGCACCAGGCTGAACCATGGAAAGCAGGTTCTCAGACGGCAGGCTCACCGGTTTGGATACTGGCAGGATGGTACTGGTTGGAAAGAATTTCCGCTTTTTTCTGGTTTTAACTACTGGGGCACTGCAAGTAAACGCAGGTCTGCAAACGAATGGAGCAGCTGAGGACAGAGAAGAGCTGGAAGATGGAACAGAGGAGGGAGCAGTTGCTACAGAGGACTTCTTTACAGGGTTAAAGAAAGGATAGGTGCAGCGAGTGGGAGCAGAGGACTGGTATGTGGTAGTTAGAGTATACTGGGCAGTCACTGGGGGTGCTGTCGGGGACGCAGGAAGAGTGCCTTGAGTGGAGGAATGATGTTGTAAGCTGACTGAGGCTGGGTGCAACAAGTCTGACCATGTCTGCAGTATGGGTTGAACGAAGCTCAGTTTACACAAAGCCTGTCTGGTCAATGACTGCACTGCGTTTATACAATCTCTTAGTATCTGTGGTGAACATGCAGAATAACGCTCCAGAAAGTAATCCACATCATCCTCTAATAACCATACACAGGGACTCTACCTGGTCGGCACTAAATGGCAGCAAAAATTCATCCCTGCATTCGGGGGTACCAGATGAAACCAACTCAGCACAAACCTGAATCAATGGCTGCACCTCAGAGAATTCTGTGCCCTGATCTACTAGAACATGAGCGATCCGTATACACTCTAGTAGTTGATCCCGGGGATACTCCTTCAGAGTTTGATAAGCATACTCTCTGTCATCAAACACTAGCAGAGATAAATACACAACCTCATCAAGATCCATCCTTCCCAGCAACAAGCCAAGATGCTTCCCAGTGCAGCCACTTCTGGTCAGGATTGGCCTTGGTGTAATGTCAGGGCTCCGGGGTGTGACCAGAGGTATGTGACTGACGCAGGGAAACGCAGGCTTCACTTATCAAATGTCCACTTGGTCAAAAGTCCGGCAAGCAAAATACAGGCAAGCTCAGAGTGAGCTCTACAGCAAGGTATATAGGACCTGTATCACCTATAACCAATTAACCCCTCCCCTTAATTAGCAGACTAAAGGAAGACAAGGAAAGGAAGAAAAAAAATGCTATTTAAAAAGTGACAGAAAAAGGGATTTAAAAAAGTAAAAGCTTTTAGCAAGACCCAAAGAAGAAAATAAAAAAACAACTACAAGCACCAGCAATCACCAGCAGTCAAAAGTTAAAATTTTTCAAATTTCTCACTCTTTTTAGCTATCAGCCAGCAAAAAAATATCAGATGTGTGCGGATTAGTTATGAAGAAAAGTAGATTGTCCACATAGTCTGCTGTTTATATTCACTCCCTTTAAGCTTAAATTCCTGTATTGATGTATTGGTGTTGATTAAGCGGATAAGAGGTTCTAATGTTAAGATAAATAATAAGGGGGACAAGGGGCAGCCTTGTCTGGTGTCATTTTTGATGAGAATTTTATCAGAGTTCCATTTACCTTAATTTGTGCAGAAGGGGTGTGATATAGCGAGGAAATCCAGGCCATCATATTTTGACTAAGACCTATATGGGAACAGGTGGCCATCATGTAGTCCCATGTTACCCTATCAAAAGCCTTTTCTGCATCCGTAGAAAGTAGTAGGCCATGTATGTTATCTGTGTTGGCTCTATAGATTAGGTTAAGAGCTTTTGTAATATTATCCCTGGCTTCTCTTCCAGGCATAAACCCCACCTGTTCTGGACTGATAAGTGTAGTGAGTAAGGGTCGCAGTCTGTTGGCTTTACGTTTAGCTAGTAATTTTAGATCTATGTTGAGAAGGAAAATTGGTCTATAGGTAGAGCAAATGGTTGGGTCCTTATTTTCTTTTGGAATAATTGTGATATGGGCTGATAGAATGGGTTCGGAAATGGTATTGTTATTGTTCAGGAAATTAAGGGCCACTAAAAGTGGTGCTTTCAATGAGTTAGTGAAAGCTTTGTAATATTGGGAGGTGAAGCCGTCTGGCCCTGGACTTTTCCCTGGTTTAAGATCTTTAATCGCCATTAACAATTCCTCCTCTGAAAAATCTCTCTCAAGAGCTTCAATATCTTGTGGTGCTAATGTTGGCATTTTACTCTGGGCTAGGAAATCAAATATAATTTGTTCCCTAGCACCCTGAAGGGGGTCAGGTTTGTGTTGCCTCGGAAGGCTGTATAAATTCGAGTAAAATTCCTGGCGATTTTATCGGTTGCATGCTCCATGCTTCCATCTGCTGCCCTAATACAAAAAAACGTTTTCTAGGGACCCCTTAGGGCCCTAGCGAGGAACTTTCCTCTTTTACCATGTTGGTAGAAAATGCATTTTTTTTAAATAAAGTGCCCGTTTAGATTGCCTATCTAAGAGACCTTTTAATTCTACTCTGGTTTCTAATAACTCTTTTGCGTTTGAGTGGATAGGGAGTATTTATGAAGTGATTCCAGTTTCGCAATCTTATTAGAAAGTTCATTTATTTCCTTTTCTTTATCTTTTTTACATCTTGAGCCCCACTTGATCATTTCGCCTCTGATAACACATTTATGGGCCTCCCAGATTGTAAGTGGTGTAGGCCCTGAATCGTTATTAAGGGAGAAGTACGTCTTGATCACCTCCTCTATTGATTTGAATATTTCAGGGTCAATAATCAATGAAGGGTTCGCCAAGTGCATGGTTTGGAAGTTCGATCTGTAAGATCAAGAGTCACAGATATTGGATTGTGGTCCGAAAAAGACTGAATACCTATTTTTGCCTCCTTGTTCCTAAGGATATCTCTTTGGGAAATAAAGAGATAGTCAATCCTCGAGTATCTTTCATGAGGGGAGGAGTAAAAAGTAAAATCTTTCCCTTTGGGGTTCACCATTCTCCAAGTATCTACCAACATCAGGGAGTTTAATAAGCATTTGATTCTTGAAAGAAAAAGGATTTTCAGTACAGAAATACTAAGGTCTCAGAGAGGGAAATAAACCCTCTGGTGTTAAGAGAATTCCTCAACACAAGAAGGTAAAGTAGTGCTGTGGGGGGTTCTATTTATTCTTATATAAGACACAAAGTCCACAGTATGGGTGGGTGCGTGGGGGGCTTAACCCTGTTGGTATTGGGTGGAAAAAAGGCAAGAAAGAAGGGTACCCTTATGGTTAGGAAGTTACACGACTCCACAACAGATGAAAACTAGAAAACGAATAGGGATCTCATCCCTGGCTGTTATACAGGCCGCTCGGAAAGCTAGCTCTAAACTCACAGTCCAGTAAGTCCTCCTTATAACTTGCTGGTTTGAATTGACTGCCTATGCATAGAATGATAAACTACGTCATGTTAACAAAATCTGTGTAAACATTGTAATAACCCCATAGTAGGAACAACAACCACATCTCTGAAGAGATCATGAGCAGCCTCGGAGGAAGGTCGGACGGGAGAGAGAACCTGTCTCCCAATCTGAATCCCCTCATATCCCTCCCCACCGACCCCCCGTGACCCCCCCGGCCACCCTCCGGCAGCATCAGAGCCCCGGACCAAACAAATCATGTAAGCAACAACATAGGATATATTCAAATATGGTGAAATCTACCAAGTTGTCTCCCCCGGCCCCACCCCCTGGCAATCCCCATTGTAATAAGCAGTTGAGGACATAGCAGGGGCGTATATGAAATAAAGTGGGTGTCCAATGATAATATCCCAGTCTTGGTAGGAAAAAATAAATTCTTCCACTGATGACAGGGGGAGAGTTGTTGATAAACAGGTGATTGTTGTATTAACAGTCGGGTGTAATCATAAGCTTTGAAGAGTTTAATTCTCTGTGGCGGTGAGGTCAAATCCAGATTGGGTGGCCCAGGAAGTTTGCCCTTTCCCATGAGACACTCAACTCGGTGGGGTGCATGGCGACATCAAGGAGACAGAGGCAGGCCCATGTGGCTTGTAATCATGACGTAAAGTCATAGCAGATACGGCAGAAAAGAGAATAACAAGGCAGATGGTCAACGCAAGCATTCTCAACATCAGCAGTCACTTCTGGGTAAGTGATGAAAGGTACCTTTTATAATGGCAGGAGAGAGAACGTGACCACTCAGGTAGGTATTGTACTAGTGATCAGGTGAAATCTTTAACTTTAGAAAGTTTGGCTCTCGGTGTTGGTGAAATCGGATCCAAAGTGGGTGATCTTAGGTGTCTACTTTTCTTGTGCGGTGTTTTTATTTAGTGGGGTACATGGCGACACCGGAGAGCTAGAAATGGATTTGGGCAGCTTGAAATCTTGATACCATTCTGGGACGTCTGTAAAAGGTATCTGTATTGCACAACAAAATTCCTCTAGATCTTCAGGAAGTGAGGCTTGCCGTTCGGTATAACAGTGCAAACGGGAATCTCCATGTCAGGGACCATCGCGACGCTTGGGTCTACACAGGCGTAGGTGTCTGCCAAGACGTGTAGGTGGCAGGGCACTAGGACCCAGGCGCACCCGTCGTCTTGACAGTACTAGGCAGGCACTAGGACCTAGGCTACGCCTGTCAGGTGCAGGGCGGGCTATTTAAACCAGCTCTGCACAAACACTTGTTGCCGAATGGTCTTTGTATGCTGTTACCTGTGTTGTGAGTATCTTGATCTGGATTGTTTGACCTTGCTGCCTTCTCCTGTCCTGACCCTTGGCCTGCCTGACTCTGCTCCTGGATGTTCCCCTTTAAATCTGATCTTTTGGGTATTGACCCTGCGTGTGACCCGACTATCCTTTGCCTACCGTTTTGTACCTCACCGACCCGCTAGTTACCAACCCGGCCTGTATGACTCTGATTTAGCTCATCCATCCATCCCGCAGGGATCACTAGGCTCCCTCACATCAGACTCTTAGCCCCCTGGAGCTCCTGTCAGACTCCTCTACCCCTGTTGGAGATACCTAGCAGCTGCGACCTGGTACCGGAGCGCTCCAAGTCCATCCCCACCATCAGGGGCCCTGGTGAACAAGTGCTCCGGTGCTTAGACTCCGCACTCTGGGGAGGCTCTGCCAGGGGATTGATAGAGGTGCTGTCA